TGTTTACTTTCTATATACAGAGCTTCCCTGTACGATGGAATGTTTCGGTCTGGGGGGAAACTGTTATACAGAGCCTTCATCTTTCTTAGCCTTCATCTTTTCATCTGGAGAAGGTGTAAACGGACTAATCTCTCCCACCCGTCTGTTCCCAAATAACCATTCAGAGGCTTATATTAATTATAAGTGTTTGGCCAATGGCTCAGGCTTATGACTAGCTAGCTCTTACATCTTAAATTAACCCATTTCTATTAATCCATGTATGGCCACGTGGCTGTGCCGTTACAGTCTACTGGCACGTTACTCCTTAGGTGCTGGCTGGCATCTCCCAGACTGAGCCCTTCTCCTGTATCTCTGCTTGGTATCCTGCCTTGCCACAGGCCAAAGCAGCTTTATTTATCAACCAATGAGAGCAACACATATTCACAGTGTACAGAAAGACATCCCACAACAAGAAGGATGTTGCCTACTTCTTGAGATCATTCTAAGTGTTACATTTTTTTTTTTTAAGTATGGAAACCTTAACCCATTTGTTAAACACCACTCTGTGAGTTCATTTTGCAGCAGCCCAGTAGGACCATTAAAGAGAGGACCTAGTAAAATTAAGTCCCAGGCCAGGGAGAGCAGAAGCTATCAACAGTCATCATGGAAAACTAGCAGTATGTGTCAGTGCATTTGCTGGAGGACTTTAGTTCTCAGCTTCCTGGCAGCTGATAAAGAAGATATTATAGACTATTTAACTTCTCTTATTGACTGAAAGAAAAGGTTAGAGTGTGGCAAGAAGGACAGGTCTTTCTATCACCCAGGTCTGAGAGGACCCTGTTGGTATAGCCCTTTAATGTAAGGAGAAATTAATTTTACAAGGGACAATTGTAATAAGTTTTTCTTAACTGGAAATGGTATAATAGGTGAGGCCATGTATTGATCAATCACTGAACTGCAGAAGCTGCCATAGCATGACTCTACTATTTTCTGAGGAGGTGAAAATAATGCTGCCCAAACAGGAAATTCTGTGCAGGGATTCCATGTTAGACAGTGTTATAGTTCCCATTAAGAGGGCAAAGCTCTTGAAAATATGTGCCCCCAAGTACTACCTCTTCTGTTAAGTCTCAAGTGGATCTTGGCAATCAGGAGACCCCAGTTCTTGGGATAACTAGGGATGAAGGTCAGGGAGTTCCCGGCTCTCCCTTAAATTCTTTCTCCTTCCTCCTTCTCTTTCTCCTCCTCCTCATCTTCTTCCTCCTTCCTCGGCCTCCTCTGCTCTTCACAGCACTGGAGATTGATCACAAGGCCTTGAGTACACTAAGTAAATAGTTCCTTAGATTCTTGTCAAATGCCAGGCATTTTAGAGTGAACTTTAAACAAATACCGAAGATGAAAATCTGGCTTAAATGTACTAGCTAAAGCAACAGGTGAATAAATTTAAAAAAGAAGTTGTATTTTAAGAGATTCTATTCTTGCTTTTCCCTGCTTCTTTCTTCTTTACCTTTTTCTTCTTCATTTGAGATCATGCCCTACATTTTAGCCCTGTGATAGAGAGCGTTCCCATTTCCCACCGGAAATCCACCGTGAGAGTCTATCAATGGACTCCTTGCATCTTGGCTTAGCTGTTGAATTCAAATGTCTTCATGTGACCTAGTAGACACCCCAGAGTTCAAAATCCAGGAAATGGAAAGGGCCAGAAAGATTTTTTTAAGGGACATTCACTAGCTGGATGGATTCAAAAGTATCCTGCATGGCTCCTGGGAACTTTGAGAGGAGATCAGGATGGAAGATAATGAATCATCTTTCCTGTGGAGCCCCCTTGGGGTGAGGGATACACTCATCCAGAATGGAGCATCAGAACACACATACATGTTTTCTCCCCTGAGAAGAGGAGGGAGGACCAAGGAGACATTGAAAAACTACAGTGGGCCAGGCGGTGATAATCCTAGCACTCGGGAGGTAGAGGCAGGCGGATCTTTGTGAGTTCGAGGCCAGCCTGGTCTACAGAGCGAGATCCAGGAAAGGCGCAAAGCTACACAGAGAAACTCTGTCTCGAAAAACTAAAAAATAAAATAAAATAAAATAAAAAATAAATAAAGAAAGAAAGAAGAAAAACTACAGTGAAAGTTTTCACCTACTAAATAAACCTGAGATGAAGCTATTTATTTAAATTGTCATTACTAGACTATTGAAGCATGAACCTAATTAATCTTATCAGAGAAGCAGAGGAACAGCCACCAATGACTTCTTACCACTCTGAATCCTCAGACCAAAACAGGGGGTGAGATCCTCTTTCCACCTACTTTACATTTCTGTCTCCACCTCGTGAGTGCCGAGATTAAAGGTATGAGCCTCCCAAGTGCTGGGATTGAAGGCGTGAGCCACCACGGCTTCTATGGTTAACTGGTGGCTAACTCTGCCCTCTGATCTCCAGGAAAGCTTAATTTGTCAGAATCACGAACAAAATATCACACAACAGACTATCTCAAAATAACTAGTGTGTTTTCAAGAGCACTGGAAAATGAGATTAAGCATAGAATGCCTGCCTTCAAAATCATATAGTCTAAAGGAAAGCATGACCACACGGCCCACAAATGGTCCCGGTTTAACTCGGTGCATCCCAAAACAGAAAGAAAAAGACGTGAATATTAGAAGGGGCCTTCTGAGGAGGAGGGACTGACAGGGCTGGAAGGGGGATTGGGGAGGGTAAGGTGAGAATAACTAGAGGACATTGTATCGATTTATGAAAACGTCAAAGATGGGAATGAATGAAAGGCACATAAAAATTATTTGTTTCATAGAAAAGGAATGTAATTGACTATTATGTACACGTTGTAACCCATAATATTTCTAGCATTTTGTTTATTTAGGTATGTGTTTATTTATTTTGGGTTCTTTTTTGTTGTTTTTGTTTTTGTTTTATTGAAATAGGGTCTCACTCATAGAGATCCACCTGCCTCACCATTCCAGGTGCTGGAATAAAGGTGTGTACCGCCACACCTGGCCTCTAGCTTTCTTTTTAATGCTGATGGCTTCTTTCCTTAGACTGCCTTAGTTTTCCGGCATCACCAGAGTGAGCTTGAATAGAAGCAGCAGCAGTAAGAAGGCTCGTTTTGCACCGCCACATTTCAGCACATGTAAGATGTGCCATAAGCTTCCTTGGTGTTGAGACCTTTAGCAGTTTGGGAGCACCGGGCTGCTCCTTATTTGCAGACATGTATTTCAGACAGGTTCCCTATTTTCATCCATGTGTCTCATTTACCGGGCTGATTTCGCAAACAGCCACAAGGTGGCAGACTCATTCAAAGAATTTCAGAGACAGCTGCTTGGTTGGTTTCCGCCCTGTAATGAAGACTAAGCCGGGGAAGTGTTCTCATGGACAACGTAGGAATCTGGGGAAACCAACGTCAGTGTTAAGATGGGTCTTGTGACCAACATATGCGCAACCATAAGGAAAGAAATGTGCTTCTAAAATTTACAGGTAGCACAAAAGCTAAAGATACGGTTCTGTTGATCGGAAATCATTTTCCCTTAAGAATTTTCTATCCTCAGCTTTCTCCTGCAACAGATGGAAATAAATACAGAGGCTCATAGCTGGATAGTGAGCAGAGAATGAGACACCTTGGAACACTCGGGATAAATAGGGTGTCTCCATCAAATTCCTCCCCTCAAGGCTCAGGGAACCCTGTGGCAGAGGAGGCAGAAAGAATGTCAGAGCCAGAGGGGGTGGAGGACACCCAGGGAGCAAGGGCTTCTTGACACAGCAGGACGGAAGCACATGTGGCCTCACAGAGACAGTGAAAGCGTGCATAGCGCATTTGGCCCACTGGTCTGGGCTAAATGGGATCCCCGCGCTGAGAAGAGGAGTAGACAGAAGCCCCACCCCTAGCTCAGAAGCTATCTCCAATTGATAACCGCTCACAAAGGAGAAATCAGTTTCACCGATGGAGTCTCACTGGGTATACAAACCACGCTTAAGGCCAGGCCCATGACAAGCAGTAGAGGACCAACAAAAACAAGATGGGATTTGGGAAGATTTTTTTTTTTGATCTCACAGTACTTTTTTCTGTTTTATTTTGTTGTTGTTGTTTTTATTTTTGGCTTGTTTTTTTGTTTTTGTTTTTTTCTTACTTGCTTTATTTATTTATTATTTATTTGTTTATTTATTACCCTTACAGTTTTTTGCTTGTATTTTATGGTTTCCAATTTGGTTTTTATGGGTTTTCTGTGTGTTTGAATGTCTGTGCCTTGGTGTCTGTATGTGTTTCTTGTGCTTTTTTCTTGGGCGAGCTCTGTCTCTCTTTCTTTCCTAATTTTTTGTCCTATTCTGTTTTGTTTGTTTTTATTTTATTTTTATTTTTTGCTTTTTTTTTTTCCAGACAGGGTTTCTCTGTGTAGCCCAGGCTGTCCTGGAACTCACTCTGTAGACCAGGCTGGCCTCGAACTCAGAGATTCTCCTGCCTCTGCCTCCTCAGTGCTGGGATGCTGGGATTAAAGCTGTGCCCCACTATACCTGGCTGTTTGCTTTTATTTTACCTTATTTTGTTTTATTATTTTAGATGCCTGTTTGTATTATAATAAGATAGAGAAAGAAACAATATGGTTTGGGTGGGTAGGAAAGTGGGGTAAGATCTGGGAGGAGTTATCGAAGAAGAAAACATAAGCAGAATTTACTGTATGAAAAAAATCTATTTTCAAGAAAAAATTTTCTCCTTAAAATAATAATGTCCCTTTTTTTCTTGACTAAATTTCATTGATTTGGTAAGTTCAAACATTGCATGAAAAATCTAAGACAAAATAGATTCTCCGGTGTGGCTAGGACATTCTATAAGAACTCTTTGGAGATGAGAAATCTAAATTTCTGTACCTGAGTTTTATTTGTATAAAAACAATTAGGGCTGAGGGTTGGTGGCAGAAAATGTACGCGGCATTTAAAAGGCCCTGGGTTCAATCCCCTGACAAAAACAAAATAGGATCCATATAGAAAATAATATTAATGTTCTGTTCTTCTTCCCCAGTGAAGTAATGACGCTGAGATCAGATTTGCTTGTTTTTCTCTCTGAGACACGGGACACGCAGGGTTTGACTCTGACGGCTTTGGAGATCACACATGCTGTACTGCAGGTCTGCTTTCTTTGACACTTATTTTTACTGTTTATTATTTTGTTTTATTTTTGAGACAGAGTTAGCTATGTATCCCAGAGTATCCCAGGCTGTTCTGGAACTCACTCCATCCCACCACACTCCTAAGCACTGGGATTATATATTATCATATATATGATATATATCAATTATATATATATATATATATATATATATATATATATATATATATTATCATGTGTGTCAGGACTGGATATCCAGGAATACAGTCCAATGATGGACATATGTGGGCAAGAAATGTAAATTACTTAGCAGCTCTGAACCCTGGGGCTATTTTTTACTACATCAAAACTTACTGTAAGTTGACAAATAAGGTGTCTTTTAAAGTGACTGTGAGGATAAGTGAGCCAACATCTTAAAATATTTAGCCCCGTATATGGTATATTTTTAATTTAAAAAGTTTTGTTTTCATATAATGTATTTTGACCATGTTTTCCTCTCTCCTAGCCCATCCTAGATCCTTACCTAGCCAACTTTCTGCTTGTTCTCCCCCCCAACACACACACACACACACACACACATACACACACACACACACACACACACATACACACACACACACACACGAAACAAAAACAAAAAAGAGAAACAAACAAAACACCAAGGTGAAAATCAAAACAAACAGCCAAAAGACCAATAAAACAAAAATTGTACAAATAAAGCATAAAGAAGCAAGAAGTCTGCAAAGGAGTTGTTCATTTTATGAGTCCAAGTACGCCTAGGCATGAGGCCTGTCCTGATATGTGGTTGATACAGCCGCTGTCCTTAATTCAGGTCTTGAATATTTGCATTTAACGGGCAGACTCAGCCACTAGCCTGCAGCTCCTGCTGGTTCTCTCAACTGAGACCAAGCTTGGTGTTCACTTCTAAGCAGACAAGTCCCAGCAATCCTTCCTTGCTTGGTTCCTTTGATGAAAAACAAAATGTTCCCACACTATCATTTTTCACAGAGACTCTGAATGTCATTTTATTCTTCCATAGCATCTTTGCACAGTCCAGGATTTAAAAGCAAGAAATGCCCAAGGTTGTACAGGAATTCCCTCCTCACCCTTTCAGCTGAGATAACCACCTAGAGCTCCCTGGTTCCTACATGAAAGGAAATGTACCTGGAGGTGGACACTCAGACCACCAGCATAACTGTTACTGCTGAGCCCAGAGGAGGGAGCATGAGACATAGGTCTGAAAATGTGGACTTAGCCCTGGGACAGAGAACATTTATAACATGTCCTATAATATGAGTCCCAGTGGCTGTAGCCAGCAAGACATCCCAGTGATGATTAATACTGTCAAATTGAAAAAAAATCTATAATCACCTAAAAGGCATACTAATGAACATGTCCACGAGGAAGTTTTGAGATCAGGTTAACTGAAAATGGATGTCACTCATTCTAAATGTGGATGACATCAATGCATGAGCTATAATCATGAATGGAATAAAAAGAGGAAAAGTGAGTTGAACACCGGCATTCATCTCTCTCTGCTTAGTGACTGGATGCCATGTAACCAGGTGCCTCATGCACCTGCTGATGTGATGGAGTATACCCAAAGATAAACCAAAATAAACCTTCCTTCTTAAGTTGCTTTCACTTAGTATTTTCTTACAGCAATGAGAAAAGAAACTAACACACCCCACAGCAGGAGATTGGAGGCTTCTCTAGAGACCTCATTCCCTAATGGAAGGGTTAATTCACTTTCTAGATAAAATTGGCTAGACCCACTTTCCCACACACTTAGAGCTTTTCAAATTGCTCCTAAGCACCTTAGTCTTAATAAAAAAAACCTAATAGCCAAGGATCACAGGTATTAAAGAAAGCTTGCAATATGAACTAAGCTGGAAGGGGTAGGTATGGGCTCCAAAGGAGTTAGAAACACGGGGATTGGGTACATATCAATGCCCTCAGAAATACTGGAGGGGGAAAAAGTTACATTCATAAAACAAGAACAAGAAGGCATGAATCAAGTGTTAGATAACAATGGGATTTGGGATTTAAAATATGATGATCAACATATAAACTTTCATAGAGGATCAGATCATTAACATGGTAGAAATCCTAGGAAATAAAACACATGCAATGATAAATAGAAAGCAAGATTAAAAAGGAAATCTACAATATGCAACCCTACAGTTCTGATAGCCCAGAAAGAGGGGAAATTATAGAAACGCCTTCCCAGAATTGCTGCTCACTTTGAGTGCCAAGCACAAGTAGAAATATCCTGAGAAAGCACACGACCCTGAGGTTTCAGAAGCCCAGCAATAAAGAGAAGATGCTGAGGACTCCCAGAAGCACAAGACCCCCAGAAACACGGGATCCCCAGCAGCACAGGATCCCCAGAAACACAGGACCCCAGAGAGCACAGAACCCTCAGATGCACAGGACCCCCCAGAAGCATAGGATCCCCAGAAGCACAGGATCCCCAGAAGCACAGGACCCCAGGGAGCACAGAACCCTCAGAAGCATAGCATCAAGAGTCAGGATGGCAAACTCCAACCCAGGAAGATTGGGCTACAGATTTGTTCCTACACTTGTACTTCACCCCCCATCTGCCCATCAAAAAAAAAAAAAAGGAAAATCAGGCCTCTTCAGCCTTTTTTCTTTTTAAGGACTCTGTTAATCCAGTCAAAATCAAGAGGAAGGAAGCCATCCAAAAAGGGTACTGGCCCCTACAGCAACGTCAGAAAACTCATCAGGAAACGAGCAAGGTTGGAGGTGTGCAGCCTGTGAGGGAGGGCTCTTATGTGGTAGTTGGCTTTCCTTTTTTTGGGCAAAAATACCTTAAATAGTCGATTTAAAAGAAGGTTCAAAAAGGGGGGAGTTGAGTTTTTTATCTCACAGTTTGAGAGCTTTCAGTGTATGGTCACTTAACCCTTGATGGTGCTGAACACACCGATCTTTCTTCCTTTTATTTTTAATTGTTGAGGCAAGATTTCAGGATAGCCTCGAACTCACCATGTAGTCTAGGATGACCAAGCGCTGGCATTACAGATAAGAGTCACCATGCCCAACTGAGAATACCGGACTCCTATCCCATAACAGAAATCGCATGGGAAACATGTCCAGGTGACAACCTAATAACCAGAGGGAGAAAGGTAGAACACAGAGGAATTATCCAGGAGCATCTACTAAGAATAGAAGGGAAATGTCCTAAGGAAGGTGGAAAGAAAAATGAAAAGGAATGAGTAGAGAATTTTGCTTTGCATTTGAGCTTTTCTGTAAAGGTAGTACATTAACTTATGTGTGTTGTGTGATGTTTTTATTGTGTTCTGACAAATAAAGCTTGCTTGGAGTCGGAGGGCAGAGCTAGCCACTAGCTGACCATAGAGGTTTGGAGGACTGTAGAGAGAGGAGACAGGAAGTGGTAAGGCGGGGCTGAGAGAGGATCTCAGAGGAACGGGAGAGGAAGGAAGTGACTGTGGCTGCTCACCTGCTTCTCTGATCTTTCAGGGTCTTACCCCAATATTTGACTCTCAGTTTTTTATTGATAAAGATTACTAGATAAATGCTTCACATGTGCAATTAGCCATGGATTTTTAAAATGACTTATTTTTATGTGCATTGCCATTTTTGCCTGCATGTATGTCTGTGCAAGGGTACCAGATCCTTTGGAACTGGAGTTACAGTCATGAGCTGCCAGGTGGGTGCTGGGAATTGAACTCAGGACCTATGGAAGAGCAGCTAGCACTCTTAACCACTGAGCCATCTCACCAGCCCCAGCACTGTGAGTTTTTAAGGTTAGTCATTTAAGAAGGAATTATATGGTATTTTGAAGAAGAATGGTCCCCATGGGTTCACATATTTGAATGTTTTTAAAGTAGCACCACTGGAAGGATTAGGAGGTGTGGCCTTGTTGAAGGAATTATGTCACTAGGGGTGGACTTTGAGGTTTCAAAAGCCCAAGGCAGGCCCAGTGGCTCATTTCTCCTGCTACCTGGGGATCCAGATGTAGAACTTTCAGCTATTCCTCCAGCACCATGTCGGCCTGTGTGCTGCCACACTCCCCAACATAATGAAAGTGGGCTAAACCTCTGAAACCATAAACAAGCCCCTGTTGCAGGATATTTGATCACCCTGTGACACTCCGAGACTATTAATAAAGTTAATCTTGAATCAGGGCTGGAGTCAGTGACCATAGAGAAGCCAGGAATATGGATAGAGAGACACACAGGAAAGGGAAGGGAGGGACTTGGAATTTGCAAGGCCTTTTTGATCTGGGAAGTGAGGAGAGCGGGTCAGCTGGTTGTTCCTCTACCACTTTCTTGTCTATCAGATTTTTAGTCCAATATCTGCCTCCCGAGTTTTTATTGACAATAGAACAATTTAGATAAATGCATTAAGCCACAATTAAATGCTTTCTTTTTTAAGAATTGCCATGGTCGTGGTGTCTCATCACGGCAATAGAACACTGACTAAGACAAATGATCAGACATGAGCTCTTCAGTGAGGAACTTCCAGTCCAACTGGGAAGACAGAACAGAAATGATAAAATATGACCTGCAATACATGACAATACATGGGAAGTGACGAGAGGGCCACCACGCTAACCATGTCACTTTGGGACAATGCACACACTCCTTGGCCATCTAACACAGGCGGGGCACAGTACCACTGTCTGCATCTGATGTTGGGGATAGGTACTTATTGCTGCCCATTTTGTGTGTCGTTGGGATAGACATGCATCTCTATGGGAACCATACTCCCCATGGTGCTCCCACACTTAAGCCTGGTTTCCAAGACCCCAAGAACCTGGACTCTCCCTCACCTTAGAGGTCAGGTGATTAGGTGTCCTCTCTAGGATCCAAAGTGTACCCCAGGATCTAGACTTCAATCTAAGTCAATTACTCACTACCCCTACCTCCAGGGTGTTATATTTTTGCCTCTGATGAATTCTTTCAGTAGCCCTTGGCATTCTCAAATAGACAACCCTGCCTTTCAGAGGAAAGCCAGGCAGATCACATCTCCCTCCAAGTCTTCCTTTATAATGGCAAGGCCCCAGTGAGCACTCTTTCCTCTGACTGGAATAGTATTGCCTGGGCAGTGAATCCAACTGCTTGATGAACTTTCGTCTACTAGTATCCTTTGTTTAAACTTTTATTGTTTGCAGGTCATAAAATATGGCCTACATCATATTTTAGCTTAAATAACAGTCAAAACCCCGACAGGCAGCTTTTATAAAGTCCTGGAAGAAATGATAGATTAGACGTAAAATCAATACATACATTCAAAAATACATTCAGCATCTTTAGTTATCCAGGAACTGCAGGTCTACACCTCGAGTCTATCTCACCCTATTCAGAATGCCTATCTGAATCCAGGGAGCCAACAAGATGACTCAGTAGATAAAGGTTCTTGCCATCGAGGCTGAAGACCTGAGTTCAATCCCAGGGACCCACATGGTTCAGGGCAAGAACTGACCCTACCCGGTTGCTCTCTTACTGCCACAGGCAGGAAATGACACATGTGCCCCCCCAACCGCCTCCACTCACACACACAAAATAAACATGTGGTATGTATACACAGTGGAGTTTATTTAGGCCTTAAAGGAGAATAAAATTATGTCACTTGCAAGAATATGGATGGAATCGAAGATCATCCTGCTGAAGAAAACAAGACAGACGCAGAAAGACAAGTTTTTAGATATTTTCTCTCATATGCGAAACCTAGGTATCTCCCTCCCCCCCCCTTCTCACTATCTCACACACACACACATGCCTGCACACAAGCGCGCACACACACCAGGAAAATGGAATGGAAATTATTGGACAGAGTGAGGGGACTACTGGAGGAGAGGGGTTAGGGAAGGGTGAAGGGGAGAGAATACAGTCAAGGAACACAACACTTTTGGAAATGTCATTACGAAATCCATCATTTGTTCACTCACACACTCATGAAATGTTTAAAGCGTACTTGATTATATCCATTTACATGCATGTGGCAGGGGAGAGATAGGCCACATATGTGCAGGTGTTCACAGGAGCCAGAGCAGGGCATTGGATCCTGGAGCCATAGTTATAGGTGGTTCAGCCACCTGATGTGTGAGCTGGGAACTAAACTTACACCCTCTGCAAGAGCTGCAAGAGCTCTCAACCACTAGCCACCTCTCTGCCCGAATAAAGTTTTAAGTAAAGGCAGAATTTGATAAATTCTGTAATGAATCAAAGAATGAAACAAGAGGTTAGTTTAATAAGGGAGAGCAATTTGTTGCTAAGTCTCTGACAATGTAGCTACCTACAGCACACAGCACAGTGTCCTCGAGTGTATCTACCTACAGCATACAGCACAGTGTCCTCGAGTGTATCTACCTACAGCATACAGCACAGTGTCCTCGAGTGTATCTACCTATATCACACAGCACAGTGTCCTCGAGTGTATCTACCTACAGCACACAGCACAGTGTCCTGAGAGTGTATCTACCTACAGCACACAGCACAGTGTCCTCGAGTGTATCTACCTACAGCACACAGCACAATACCAACACAATCCTGTTTGGAACCCTACTTTCAAGGTTACACAAGGTGTCAATGCTGTTGTGATCCTCTTAGAGGAAATCATCTAAATTATAGAAGTTCAGGTTCGGTTTCAAGGAGTCTCATACTAATCAGATAGTTAAAGCATAAACGTGTGAGTGGCAGCTGACAGCTCTAAGGCGGCTCCTGTGTCCAGAAACCAGCCTCAGAACGTTGCCTACATTATCTCCCTCAACCACGGCCATAGTACCTTATAAAAATAAACTTATCATAGGCATTTCATAGAAGCAGGGATGAAGGCCAAGAGAAGAGAGAGACCTTGTCCACCCCCAAGTAGTAAAGCTGGATTCCAACCCAGAAAGTCTCCTAACCACACACTAACTGCATGGATCTGCCTCTTTGTCCTCCCAAGCCCAGAGAGACCACGTAGATAGTGCCAAAGACGAACTCCAACCCCTCAGGAGGGCAGAGACCAAAGGCATCCTTGGGGCACCTGTCTACCTCTCCCACTATTCTCTCCTCATCCTCCTCCTGCTCCTCCTCCTGCTTCTCCTCCTCCTGCTCCTCCTCCTCCTGCTCCTCCTCCTCCTGCTCCTCTTGCTCCTCCTCCTGCTCCTCCTCCTCCTGCTCCTCCTCCTCCTGCTCCTCCTCCTCCTGCGCCTCCTCCCCTCCCTTCTGCTTTCAAAGGCTTCTTCCCAGGATGGATTGGGTGCCAGGAGGACCACAGTCTAGTCCACCAGCTGTCTTTGCCCTGTGTCTTAGTTCAAACATGAGAACTGTACAATGTGAACTTACCAAGCCTTTTTAGTGGTTGTAGACTGGAAATAAAGTCTGTCACATGAGCAGCTTTTAAGACGTACGCCAGTGCCATTGCTCGGAAGCGCCACTTGACTCTGATTCCTCTTCAGACATCAGACTGTTCCATTCTCTACAGCCTCTAGCATTTTGTTCCAGCATGTGTGAAGCTAGAATAAATCTGTTTCTTTTCAGCTGGCTGGTAAAGGCACACAGGTCTCCAGGGCTAGACGTGAACTGGCAGAGATAATTGATCAAGTACCACACTCCAACAACCCATTGTGTAACTGGAGCTCCACAAATAAAATGCAGTGAGTGAAATGCACAGCCCGACTGAGCTTGATGACTCAAGATGGGGGGGGGGGGGTAAAAAGGCTTGGGAGGGGGCAGCAAGATGGCTCAGTGGGTAAAGGCACTTGCCCCCGGGTCTGATGCTGTGAGTTCTGTCCCCAGGGTCCACATGCGGAACAAAAGGCCCAATTCCTGCAAGTCCCTCTGCCTTCCACACATATCACACCCCTATACATTCGTACATGCATGTAATAATTGTCTAATGTTGGCAGTTGGAAGTAGCATTAAACATAAAAATCATGACTGTCAGATATCAGGAAATGTGTCGAACACAGTCCCAGCACAGTGAAGACTGCTGCAGCCTTCTGTGGCTGCTGTAACAAGTTCCAGCAACTCGGTTGCTCCAAGCGACAACAGTGTTCCTCCAGGCCTGGAGGCCAGAAGTCGAAGTGTCAGCATGGCTGTTCAGGGAGGACGTCTCCTTCGCTCTCGCCTGCTGGCCATCAGCATTTCCAGCAGCGATCAGCATTCCTTGGCTCCTGGCCACGTCGAGCCAATCCTCCTTCTTCACATCACACATGTGTCTTTTTTTTTTTTTTTTTTTTGGTTTGTCGAGACAGGGTTTCTCTGTGTAGCTTTGCGCCTTTCCTGGAACTCACTTGGTAGTCCAGGCTGGCCTCGAACTCACAGAGATCCGCCTGGCTCTGCCTCCCGAGTGCTGGGATTAAAGAGGGTTCCTGTCATGGATGCAGGACGCACACAAGTGATCAATAACTTCCCCATCCCAGGAACTTTGATGTTTATATATTCTGGAGATTAGGTTGGGGATATATCTTTAGAGGGCAACGTTCAACTCTCTACATTGCCGTTATCCAAAACCAGTAGTCAAATCAGTCGGATTTGCGGCTCTGCCCACATGAAAACATCCTCCTCTCTGGCCACGCCCCACCCCACTCTCGCCCCACCCCACTTCTCGGCTCATTTGACTGTGCCCACTGCCCAACCAACAGAGAGGGAACAGCCGGGGGGTCAGAAGCTTGTGCTAACCTGCCCAGTGTGGGAGAAGGGCAAAGCAGTCAAGAAATGACCTCCAGCTAAAGCTGGATTCTTGTTGCTGGCCCTCCGGCATAAAATAGACGTCAAATTCACATGGAATTTGATTTGTGAAATCACAGTGATTTCACATCCTGCTTTGATTTTTTTTTTCTAAATCATAGTTTTAAAGCTTCGTGTTGCATGGTGGTTTTCTGGGAATCTGCATCATGCCATCGGCAACAGTTCGAGTCTCCATGGCGAGTTCCTCATGCACCCATTTTACATTTCCTTTCGCTGGGATCCCTTCTCCCCCGAGGAGGAAGAGGAAATTCAGGGTTTGTGCGTGGATTTTACATTCACACACTTCAAATCATGTACTGAAATCCAGTGCTGAGCTTTACTTGTGGGTGAAACAAAACAAGAGGCGAAGTCAAGACTCAATGTCACCCAAAAGTGAAAATTGATCAACCAGAACAACCATGAGTAACACAGGATGACCGCTAGGGGGCACTGGAGTTTAAAAAAAAAAAACCTCCAGAACAAAGTCAAATGGGTAAACATGGATCATTTTATTAACACTGCCAAAAAGGAACTGTTTCTGAAAAATGAAATGCCACTGTTTCTCAGACTTAGCAAGACGATTTCACAAGACACTCCTGAAAAAAAAAGTCATATTCTGGCCGCAGTAGCTAGAAAGTAGCTGACTCACGTGTGCGGAATTGGCCCTAATCTAAGGTCAGTGTGGATGTGATCAGGACACCCGAGGCAGCCCAAGAATGCGTACCAGACTTCAGGCCTGAGATAACACGAGGGTCTTGTAAATGTCAGGTTTGTGGCTCTGCCCAGAGGAAAACATCCCAGTCTCTGGCCACCCCACCCCACCTCTGCTGATACTCAAAAACAAAACAAAACAAAACAAAACAAAACAAAACAAAAAAAAAAAAAGGTCAAGTAGGCATTTTCCTTGTAGCTGACGCAGAGGGACGTGAAGAAAAGTAGCGGCGGAGACCAGACACTCACGCTCTGATTCAGTCCAAAGCAGATGATTTTTTTTTTTCATTAGTCATTTTCAAAACATATATTCACTAAGCTAAAAATAGACTCCTAGCCTAGGAGTTGAACACCCGAGGGCTAGGACAAGGCAAACGGAAACCAGGACAGACATTTCACACAAAGCTCAGCCTATCTATCTACACTTGAGGATGCGCAAAGCTCGCTGCAGGCCGGCCTTTCCTGCCTTTGGAGGCATTGTTCTCACGGAGAACTCCCCAGTGCCTGGGGCCAGGGACACACTTCTGTTCACTGGGTCAGAGCTGTGCTCTGGACAGCATTCCAAACTGCATCGACATCCCAACTGCCCCTTCCTGTGAGGGTGGTGCTATTTGGAACGCGGGTCTTCGCAGATGTCATCAAGTTAGAAGGAGGTCAGGGAGAGTCCTGGTCCCACGTGACTGATGTCTTTCTGAGCAGGGGACACGCCCTGGGGTAACAGAGGCGAAGACTGGAGTGGCATGTCTACAAACCAGGAGCCGCCCGCTGACAGCCCAGCCAGGAGTCAGGAGGGAAGTGCTGACAAAGACTGCTTGCAAGCCTCCGGAGACATCCCCTCCCGGGTCTTGATCCAGACTCTGGGACTGTGAGAACTTAGGGTTCTGTTGTTAAGCCGCCCAGCTTGTGGGATTTGTTCTGGCAGCCCCAGAACGCTGTCCACCCAAGTCAGAAAAGGTCAATGGAACTGAAGAACGCCTGCAAAGAGACACTTAACTAACCCAAGGTCCCTGGGAATTCTCTCTGTGCTTGTCTCCCGGTCTCCCCCTCCTCTCTATTCAACCCCAGTTATTTTTAACAGAGAGCATTGCTTTTATTTCTCTCCAAGTGAACCGCTCATGGTGATTTCTGGAGCCACGTGAGTTACTTTGCAGGTCTCCTTAAGACCTAAGCACCACACAGTCTGGTGGGCATTTCAGACGACTGTGTTCCCTTGAGTCACCCAAAGTATTTGCTGTATTTTTTTTTTCTTGTTCTTCACGGTGGCAAAAAGGGGGAAATAAGAGAAAGGTATTTGGACAGTGGATATAGGTCATTTCCTAACAAGTGTGTGGTTCCAGGTTCAATCTGTTATACAGGAAAAAAGGAGGAGGTGGTGGAGGAGGAGAGGGTAGGGAGGAAGGGAGAGGGGGAGGGAGGGAGGGAAGGAGGGAAGGAGGGAGGGGAAAAGTAGAAAAAGACGAAAGAGCTCTGAGAATGCAGAGAAGAGGTGTTTCCTCTCTCAGTCACACAGCCTTACAGTGGGTGAACAGAGCTCGGGAGGCCGGTTCTCCAGCTCCCTATATCACACAACTATGTTCTAGTCTTAATTTCCCCTTACAAGAATGAATAAATGTTCCCAAACGACCGCCAATAAGAAGCTGCTTCTGGGAGATCTTTTGTGTACGATAACACGCCACCTGAGGACTTTGGTCGATGATAGATGGCAGGCGGATGGAACGGGGGTCCCGGAAGACTCAGCAGAGCTGAAAAATTCCTCATCTGGTGTTGTTAGTGGGTTACAACTGCCCACAGCACACGGCAGTTAGGGATGCACCGCTGTAATTTAGAAACTGACGACTGTACCGTATAGCCTATGTGTGAAGTAGACGATACCATCCAGGGTTACAGACATGAATCTGCAGCCTTCATGGAAGGGCAAACCTGCTATCCTGACAATGAATTTCCTAGAATGCATTTAGGTACATAGCTTAGACAGAAATGTCTCTGGCTTCCGAGAATTGATAGATTTCAAACAGCATAGTCTGAGGACATGGCCATGCTCACGTGTTCCACTACGTACAAGAATTTCTCTTTCTGCCTATTCCGTTCTGTGGAAAAACCACTCCACCCTCAGAGCAATTGGAAGGAGCAGGCGCAGCAGAGCTAAGACTTGTCCCCTCGTGTCCTGGCTCCACCTGTCCCTGATACAGGGAAGTCCTTAGCCAATTTATCTAGGCTTATCTCTGCACCATGGTCACTCAGAACTTCTTTTTTTTTTTTTTTTTTTTTTTTTTTTTTTTTTTTTTTTTGGTTTTTCGAGACAGGGTTTCTCTGTGCAGCTTTGCGCCTTTCCTGGGACTCACTTGGTAGCCCAGGCTGGCCTCGAACTCACAGAGATCCGCCTGGCTCTGCCTCCCGAGTGCTGGGATTAAAGGCGTGCGCCACCACCGCCCGGCCACTCAGAACTTCTTAATTGGTGCTCAGCGTTCTCTCTGCCAGAGGCATGCTGTCTCCCATTGGAGTCCTGCCTTGGGGGTCTGACCCAAACGAGAACAATATCCCTGGTACAGTCTCTCCAGATAGTAGAGTCCCTTGTCCTTGTATGCTTCTGCAGAGTTGCAACACACTTGCGTTCCTAAACGCACTAAACAAAATTCAGGAGAAACTAAAGAAAATCATAGGAATATAAGCCCATGTGGAGTTTTCCCACAACTCTGCCATTTCTCATCCAAACTCCACACACAATTCAGACAGTAAAAATCTCTATGAAAAGTGTCATCTCACCTCCACTACCAAGCACACACCCTACACAATTCACCCCGTGTGATCAAAGGCATTTGTGACCTAGGGCCTAGTCTCCTGATGAGTGGCAGATGATCAGGTACTCCACATGTCATCGAGCTTGGGGCTTTGAAAGGCAGCTTTGGGGAGTGGTTCAGCCCCATACAATCCCATAGAATGGAGTCATTACTGGAGCTATAACCACAGAATAGACATGACACTCGGGCAAGATGAATCAGAGACACATCACAGTCTCTGTTGATCTCAGGGAACGCAAACTCCCGGCAAGATTGATGATGCAGGATGAGGCCAGATAAGGATGCAAGGAACAGGAGAGAATCACTACCAACAGGGAGAAGAGAGGAGTTAAGAAACCTGTGGGGCTGGAGCTAGACAATTGCTAGAAAGTAGAAAAGACGTGTGTGGGAGCTGCACGTCCTGGGAATAAGGAAGGCAGGAACTCTCATGAGAAACGGTTGTGTTGGGGGTCATCCAGATGGCACACAGGTAAAGACTTTTGCCACCAAGTCTGACAATCTGAGTTTGATCCCCAGAACCTGCATGATGGAAGGAGAGAACTCTTGCAAGTTGTCCCCTGGTTTTCATATGACCACCACAACACCCTTGCACACCCTTGCGCCACCTACACATATTAAAATCAATAAATGTTTAAAAAAATTAAAGATGGATGTGCAGGTCCAAAGAACATGGGAAATCCCTCAGTTGATGGTGAATTAAGAAGGAAGGCCAGCAGACGAAGTATGATAATAGTCAACGCTGCTCAGGTTAGACCCGGCTCAGGTTAGACCCAACACATGCTGAACACTTTGAATGCATCTTCTTGTGGAATCCTCCAAATACTGTATCATAGGAAGATTCTGTGAACCACGTTTCAGAAAAGAGCTAGCAAACCTAAACACATGAAGGAAATAACCCAAAGATGGACAAAATCAAAATTGGAACTCAAGTCTCAGCTGTGGTAGCCAGAGTACTTAGTGTGAGCATACACACACACACACACACACACACACACACACACACACAGCCACCACCACTTAATTGAATTGGAGGTGTCAGGACCTAGTCACCAGAATCTCACACATAGTGAGGGTGAAGGGATACAAGAAGCATCACAAACCATGGAATTCTCAACAGAGCACATACATAACATAACAGAGCATAACAGACAGGAAGTGACCGTGGGTTGTTGATAGAATGCACATACCCAGCCCAGTGGAGGAAATTTGGTCAAAGGGAAGATGGGAGAGCCCACAGAAGGGACTTCAGAAAGAATGGGGACAGAAAACGGATATGCCCCAAGGAATAAAGGAGTAAGAGTACAGGAGTCCCCAGGAAAGCAGGGGTGACAGCTGAGGGTGGCAGAACTCCAGTGATGCTGGGAGGCAGGGGTGCGCAGGGATGCACAGGCCCAGTACCACTCACCAGCACCCAGGGTCCCTCAAGAGTCCTGCTGTTTCCCTGTCCCTGAAGATGCCAGGACACTGCCGGGGGACAGTGTGTGGGTATCAGGCAGAAGAGGAATGCAGGGGCCACAGACTCAGGGAAGAAGGGAGGAGCATTGATCCCCACTGCTGGTGACCTGGGACTGCCAAACCTCACAGGAAAATTAGCCGCTCTAGGAAGTTTACCCTGGTGCAGCAGGAGAGGTAAACAATGTGCCCGGAGTACATTCCTCTTTTCCCTGGAAAATCCAAAACAGAACCATTTGCTTGGAGTGTGGTTGAACACGCTGCTTATTTGGAATAGGTAGGACAAGGCACTCCCCCGAAAGAGCAAGACCTAGTAATTACAATGTCAAAAGCCTCAAACTGTACCCACAGCCCCCTGGGTAAGGTGGGAAGTAATGTGGCAGCCGCATGAGTCATCTCAGGATCACTGCTTTTGGTCTGTTCTTCTGTCTCCTGCCTGTCTCTTTGGTCAGATTTCTACTTGGGAACCGTCTCACACACCCAGCCACTAACTGTATGCCACAGGCCTTCCCAATCATCTTGTACTCCCGCCGCCGCGCCTGGCCCTGCTAGGCTGGAACATGGTAAAACGGTTTGGGAGCGTGGTTTGAAGGTTCCAGGAAAGGGCCTTGTAAAAGTCTCCAAGGAAAATGCTCTTAAATTAGATGCCATTCCCCTACTCTGTTCCGTTCTCCTGGGTGGCTCTTTAAAGTTGAAAACAACCACTACATGTTAGCACCACTAACATTGTAATAGACCAGTCATTCCTCTTGGACATTCTTCGCTTTTCCTTCCTTTTCCTTTCTTTCTTTCTTTCTTTCTTTTTCTTTCTTTCTTTCTTTCTTTCTTTCTTTCTTTCTTTCTTTCTTTCTTTCTTTCTTTCTTCCTTCCTTCCTTCCTTTCTTTCTTTCTTTCTTCCTTCTTCTTCTTCTTCTTCTTCTTCTTCTTCTTCTTCTTCTTCTTCTTCTTCTCCTTCTCCTTGTCCTCCTCCTCCTCCTCCTCCTCCTCCTCCTCCTCCTCCTCCTCCTCCTCCTCCTTCCCCTTCTCCTTCTCCTTCTTCTTCTTCTTTTGTTACTTGTTTGTTTTCATTTTTTTCTGGGACATCCCTGGCCCCAGGTTTGAAAAAAAGGAGGCGATGCAATAAAGATTCGCCCAAGTAAGCAGTCTATTTTTGGAGGTGGTCCATCTCAGCAGATGGTTCTGGGTAACTGAGGGGGATTCCAGAGTTCTAAGACAGCCTTGACCCCAAGGAACGACAGTAGGTTACTCTTATCTCTGTGTTTGATACAGGCCCACGCTATCTCTCATAAGGAGTACGGTCACCTTGAGCCACTGCAGCAAACTATGACCCTGACAAATTGTCTTCTATTATTATTGAAAGTGTCAAGTGTAGACAACAGAATGAAGGAAGAGACTGTTAGTCTCTGTGCCCATTATCCAGTTTCAGTAGTCAGCAAACATCCACTGACTGTGATAACTGTATTCAGTAGATATGGGAAGGAATAAAGGGATGGAAAGAGGAGGGAGAGAGGGAGGGAGGGAGAGAGGGAGGGAGGGAGGGAGGGAGGGAGAGGGGGAGAGGGGGAGAGAGGGAGGGAGGGAGGGAGGGAGGGAGGGAGGGAGAGAGGGAGAGAGGGAGAGGGAGGGAGGGAGGGAGGGAGAGGGAGGGAGGGAGGGAGGGAGGGAGGGAGAGGGGGAGGGAGGGAGGGAGGGAGGGAGGGAGGGAGGGAGGGAGGGAGAGAAAGGGAAAGGGGAGGGAAGAAGAGTGAAGTTCATTGCAAGCCAGAGCACGTTCCCTGTTCCCTCCATGTTTGTCCTCATGTTTCATCCCACACTGAAATAGTTTTTATTACAAATTACATGCTCTTCGTTTGGCAACACTCCTCTAGAGTAATCATTTCAATTAAGATTTCAGAGAAATCATTAGGAGCCTCATTACCAGGCAATCTGTTTCATTGTAAGTTATTCTGAATGTGACTCTAACACCAGACTGATGATTTATGCCAAGATCCCATTTTGCTTGTTGGGGTTTTAACCTCATGCAGCAAATTCCAGTAAGAAGCTTAGAGGTTTCCAAGCCGAAGAAATGATGGCAGTGGTGGGAAGGGCGAGGGGCAGAGGGAGGGAAATACATGTCCCATAGATTTCAGAAAACTCCAGCCAAGTCAGGGGATGGACATGGCAGACTGTTGAAAGACAAAGACCTGTGAAGAGTCATTTTAGGATGAATGAATGGAGACAATTCTAGGGCAGCCTAAGGTGTCAGAACTGACCTCTGTTTGGAGTCAGGGAGCATGGGTTTCCTCCTCCCCAAACGTCTCCTCCTCCTCTACTTCTTCTTCCTCCTTCCTTCATTCCACTCCCTCCTTCCTTCCTTTATTGCCTTGTTTTAAGAGCATGCCCTGACTTAAGAAGAACAAATTACCATTTACGTTAGCCCATGCTTTACAGAGTTTCAATGGGGTCATTAGAAGGTGAAAATGAAAGTGAAAAATAGAAGCAGGAAGCCCTAATTTTAGCTCATGGTCTTACCTTGTCATTTATGACCAGAGTCGTGAAACCATGCATTATGGGATCTGGCGAACTCAAATGACCAACCCAAAATACTGTCCACGTCTACAGCTACAAACATAGGTTTTACAAGGCATTGCTCAAGGCCAATGAAACCTTGGCCAGCAAGGTCTCCACCTCCCCATGGAATTCTCCCTAAAGTAAATGCTTATGGTAGATCTCTCTACAATGAATGCAGACCCTGGGAAGATGGATGGAAAGTCTACCCCACCTCTTTCTTTCTCTCTCTCTCTCTCTCTTCACCACCACCCCCTGCACCTCTCTCTACCTCATTATTGTTGTCTCAACATGTAAGCTCTCAGTTTCTGCTCCAGTGCCATGCCTGCCTGCCTGCCACCATGCTGGCCACCGTGATTGTCATGGGCTCACCCTCTGAAACTGTGAGACCCCATAAACTCTTTGTTCTATAAGTTGCCACAGTCATGGTGTCTTGACACAGCAATAGAAAAGTAACTAAGACACATGTGCACTCACCCACACTGATAAGTACATATTAAAAACACATACACACTACACACAATAATCACACACACACACACACACACACACACACACACACACACACACACACACCCTTGTTTGTAAGAGTAAGCGAAAAGGTCACTCTCCCCAGAGACCATGGCTTGGGATGTGTGGTTTTTCAGAGACTGTAAGTTCCAGGATGACTTTTCTTCAGTTCTCAAGCAAAGAGAAGACTGGATGGTTTTCCCAAGGTCAGAAGTTACCAGGAGCCACTAAACCACATCAGGGGTTGGTTGGCCTCTGCTCTCATGGATTAAAATCTAGATTGTGTGAACATGGGAAATCCATTCTTTGACCTAGAAAAAGGAACACCTGTGTCACAGACCCCTATAAAGATGGAATGCTTTGATACTCTTAAAATGCCTGATTTAAGGACTACATCACAATGTTAGCATGCTCCTTCCAAAAATACTATCATTTCAAGCATCAAGGAATCTGGGAAGCTTGCCTTTCTGGAACAAAAGTTAATAGCTGAATCCAAAATATTTCCCACCATAACTCATTACTCATCAAAGCATGACAGGCTTACGCGTTTGAGTGAGTACCACCAGACATACTCAGGAGCTAGAAGTATTACATAGTCTATTGTGTTCATTTATATCTCTCCCATATTTGGTCTGAGTTACTTATAACTAAAAGAAATGGCATCAGTTAAACCAAGTTAAGAAACTGATGTCTTTACAAAGTTTATGTTGCTAATTAAATTAAGGTTTGTAGCGGATCAAGGACAAATACTGAGTTCAAAAAAATGTTCCCTTTGATCCCAGGCTTCTGTACTTCAAAGGCTAACTGGAAGGCTCTTGCAGGATGCGGGTAGTACTCCTTTCTCCACTGTGCAGGGCTCCTGGCACAAGGAAGACAAGGACCCTGGAGATTTCTGTGGCAGAGCCGGGGGATAACTTCAGTGACGGGCCTGCCCAGGCCAGGCTCTGACGTCAGATGACTCAGGAGGGTGATGAGTCAGAAGATGCAGCTTTGGGAGCTGATTCTGCCACGGCTCACCTTTCATGAGAACATCATTTGATGTCCGTTCTTCATAGGAATGAGACTGTGACGGCTAACCTACCTGTCTTGAAGCTTTGATACGAAGGTGATGCATGGAGTTTAAATACACTGAAAAAGACCCTGAAATAGAACTCGGGGGAGGGGGGCTCAAGTCATTTGCTTTGTCTCCTGGGAATAAATAACATATGCTTGTATCCCCCATGTTTTGTACACAGGATATACTCCGTAACTCTGAGTGGAGGAAAGAGAGAAGATTGTGCTGAGGGACAGGCCCAGGGACTCTCTGCAGACAATATTCATCTTCCCTTCCTCTGGAATTAAGCCCCCTCATGCTATTGCAGCTCTGTCTCCACTTGAGCCTATGCTGGATGTGACATCCTGGCAGGAGAAAAGATATTTGATAAAGACACTCCCTTTTACTATCAAACCATTGAGTGAATGGCCCCAAGGGACTGAAATTTCCCCAGGAGTCTCATGCTGGCGGGAGGAAAAGGCTGAAGTCTGGTGCCGAAGGAGGAGCTGGTCTCCCTGGAAGAGACAAACCATCAGACTGCCTTTCAGGATCTTGAAGCTGAAATAGTGATGACCAGGGGCACATCTTGACAAGACTGGCTTAGATAGGAATACCTCATGTTAAACCTAAACCTCATGTCAGGACCCTGAAAGATGAATGTGAGGAGTCACTAAACCTCCTTCCTCTTCTCAGCATGGCTGTACTGTAAGCCTCCCGTCTCTGCTTTTCCCTCTTCCCTGTGTTTTCCGTTTGTCCGTTGAGGATGAAGGGGCAAGCCTACCTTTAATAACGGGCTCTCAGGGTCAGCAGAGAGTAACATGTCCATGACTCAGGCAACAGGAGCAGCAGGGAAGGAGAAGGCAACTGGGAATGGATGAAGGAAGGGTTATCCGTCAGCCCAGGCAAGAATCCTGGCAACCGTGAGGAGGGAAAACGATTTCCTGCAACGGCTTCGTGTGGGAGTGTGTCTCATGCCAGCTCACTGCATCCCATACTGTTGAGCAAAGGCTCTCAACATCTCCCTTGGTCCACATTTACCTCCCACTGGGCTGGACATTTATCTATTTCCACACTTTTGTAAGTCTAGATGTCAAAGTCAACTTATCAGTGAAACACAACATCAAGTCATCCTGAATGCTAACAAAAGACAGTTAGGGATACTGGAGAACCCCAGCCCCTGATGGATGATAAAGACAGAATGCATAAGGATTGAACTCAGCATCCATTTAGAGATGTTCTCAAAGCCAGCCTGTACCAGTGGACGGTTTGTTCTGACCTTTGGGCAAAGTTATTTTGTTCCTGTTTTGTTTTGTTTTTCCCACTTTGAGATAAGTGAGGAGCTGATGTTAGAGAGCAGGCTTGTTAGAGCAGGACACCGATGGAATCCCCTTGTGGGCGCCACCTTTTGGGACCGCAAGCTCCACTGCAGTCCCCAGCCTCAGATGGCTGTTTCTTCCTCTGATGCTGAGCTGGTTTCTGGCCAACAGCTACAGGGAATCCACCCTTGGCAGAGGACTGAGTCACTCAGGTACTGAGATGGAGCCGCTTTCGAAATGCCCATTATCACCGAGGATGTGTGAGGCTAAAAGTACAGGCGACAGGTGTGACCTAATGTAGCTCCAAACAGAAGCTCACGCGCTTCTCTCACTTGACAAGAAGTTTAGAGACAGGTAAACAGGGCTGTGCGGCTCTCTGCAGTCATCCCTGCCTTAGAAGACAGTGGTGGTGTAATAACAAAGACCAGAACCTTGGCCACATCTCCCTGAGATTAAGTCCTGTGTTCCTGGGTTATAAAGATGCCACGAGTTGTCTACCACCCCAGCCTCAGTTCCTCCTCTGTCAACTAGACAGAATAATACCTCCCTTGTGGCCTTGCTGTTAGCATTAATTGGCTAAGTCAACCAAGTGCTTATCTAGAACGCGGCATGGAATGAGGACTGTATGAATGTTAGTTCTTACAATTTTTAACCTATTTGAAGTGTCTTCTTAGCATTATAAGACAGTTCCCAAGCAGCAACCTTTCATGGGGCACATGGCGATGGGCATACCCAGAAACAAAGGAAGGGACAGGACAGAACTGGTGAGAAGTAATGGTGGCCTGAGCTTCCGGGCGTTCCTCTCTTTAACAGGAAAATAGTCTTCCCCAGATCTCCATCCCTCACTGATGGATCCTTAGACTGGTTCACATGGTAATTCCCAAGCTGACCCTTGGCATGCGGATGCAATTATCACAGTTTTAGACTCTATGTGCTATCTAGTATGATAGCCACCAGCCATATAAAGTATTTTCTATTTTATAAGAGAGTGTGTGTGTGTGCCTACAATGAAGGTGTTTGCTTGTTTGTTTGTGTTTGAAGATGAGTTATTTTTAATGAAGCTTTATTTTTATTTCATGTGTGTGGATGTTTTGCCTGAATGTATTCATGTTCACCACATGTGTACAGTGTCCATGGAGGCCAGAAGAGGGTGTTAGATCCCCTGGAACTGGAGTGACAGATGCTTATGAGCTGCCATAGAGGTGCTGAGAGCTGAACCTGGGTCTTCTGCATAGCAAGTATTCTTGTCTGCCTAGTTATCTCTCTCCAGCCTGAAATTTCTCTTTTAAACTAATTAAAATTAGGTTTTCAGTTGCTCAGTAACAAAGGCCAAATGTTAAGGGCTCATTAGCTCATAAAGCTGGTATTCACTGTCAGGGATGTTAGACATGTAGACTGATAACTACCATGACAAAATGCTGAGGTGAACAGAGCTGCAATCAGATTCACTCCTGGGGCTGGATGAGGACTGAACTCTCCAATACCACACTTTCCTGTGGTATCTGGACAAAATGGAGGATATGTTTACAAACCAGAGGAGGAGGTAGCCTGGGAGCTGGGAATCAAGAAGGAAGAAATAGCAGAAGAGAAGACCAGTGTTGTAGTTTGTATCTTAAATGTCACTCAAAGGTCTGTGTTGCCTTTCCATGGTACCATTGGGAGGTGGCAGCACCTTTAAGAGGCAAGGCTGTGTGGGGGGCGATCTTCAGGTCATTGACAGTCTGACCTCTGGGGACAGCACAAGATCCCAGTCTTTTGTCTGTGGTTTGCTTCCTGGTCAGAGGTGAGCAGCTTTTTTCTACCACAAGCTCCCTGTATGAGGTATTACCTTGACCCAGCCCGGAAAAAGAACCAGGCTAAATCAATTACAGACTGAGACCTCCAAAAGGATACATGGAAACAAAGCTTTTCTCTCTCTCTCCGGTAATTGTATTGGGTAGTAAAGCCAATGCCTGTGAGAACAGAGGGTGTGATGTTTGTGAAATCAGTGGATGTGATGCTTGTGCGGACATTGAGTACAATGCTTGTGTGAACAGTGGGTGTGATGCTGTGAGAACATTGAGTGTGATGTTTGTGAAATCAGTGGGTGTGATGCTTGTGCGGACATTGAGTACAATGCTTGTGTGAACAGTGGGTGTGATGCTGTGAGAACATTGAGTGTGATGTTTGTGAAATCAGTGGGTGTGATGCTTGTGCGGACATTGAGTACAATGCTTGTGTGAACAGTGGGTGTGATGCTGTGAGAACATTGAGTGTGATGTTTGTGAAATCAGTGGGTGTGATGCTTGTGCGGACATTGAGTACAATGCTTGTGTGAACAGTGGGTGTGATGCTGTGAGAACATTGAGTGTGATGCTTGTGAGGACATTGAGTGTGAACACAGCCTGCAAATAAGAAGGCCAGAGGAGTGGAGGATATATCTCTGGACTTACATTTACCAAGCTGGCCTCTGCCTCTGCGGCATTTCTACACATGAAGCCAGCTGACCTAATTGGGGGAGGGGGCGGTAATCAGGAAGAAATGATTAAGATCCCTTCCACCCAAATCTGTTTTAGTAACTCAAGGGGGAAAGTGATGCTTTTTCCTGCCTACACCCTGGCCCTAACGTGGTAATAAGATTCTGCAAGTTACCATGTTGACCATTTTTATGACTGTCCCATAAAATTTAGCAATAAAACCCACTTTCTGCCTCACATAATCACTGTGAGGTACAGTCCATCATGTGCCAAAGCCCCAGGGAAGGATTACAGATCTGCCCACACAGTGCAGCAATGGGAACATCATCATCTTACCCAAAGGCCCTCAGCAGCAGTCAAAGTCCCCAGAGCACCTCAAATGTGTGACATGTCGGTTGGCGGCGGCGGCTCCGCAGCTGGAACAGCTATAATGGGTGATGTGCAGTTGTGTACAACCGCATGTGGGGCACAAGTGAAGGTTAGGATTGTGCCCAGACATCCTAGTGCCAAAGGATGGCAGGCACTCCACCACATTTTCTTATCACAAATATAGAGAAGCAAATCTTTTGGAGATGAGTCAGGATAATGGTGCTTGAAGGCATGCACACATCAAAATCACCTGGAAAGCTTCAATGCACATCTGTCATTCCAGCATGTGGCACTCGGGAGCCAGGATCAGACAGAGGATTGTGAGTTCAAGGCCAGCCTGGAACACATAGTGAGTTCCAGGCTAACCTGGATTACATAGAAAACTGTGTCTCCAAAATAAAAGGAAAGACTACTGAACAGTCAGGATATGACAGCAGATTGTTCCTGCCAGCTCAGGAGCACTGCTTTGAATGAATCTCTTCCCAACTCCATATTTCAAAAACATCATTTGGAATCTTGAAGTCAGACCTGCAAGAGAACTTAAACCAATCAGAACTATATGGCGTTTGTTCCCGGAAGAACTAGTTACTGAGCTTTTATCAGAACACCACCAGCTGCTCCCCATCCTCAGTGTCTCTGACTCAATAAATCTTACATGGAGATTTTCATTTCTATGAAGTTGCTGGGCAATACTGATTCTGCTATTTTGGAAACCACATCTTGAAAATCACTTGGAAGAACGTTTGTCAGAACCTTGAGTCAGAGAATTGATTCTTCTCTCCTAACTAAATTGTGAGCCACCATCAACAAGGAGCATGCTAAATGCGGCAGGGGGGAGGGGGAGTTGTCCAAGAATGTTACAGATGATCAGATATTGTAGCATGAATCTTAAAAGTTTTTATTAATAAGATCAAACCTGAGGCCAGTTATTGGGGTGAAATGCTGGATGGTCAGAGAGACAGAACAAGCCACAGCTAACCTCACCTGGCCAACTTCTCAGCTGGTCTTGTTTCCTCAGACTGGAAGCCTCTGTGTCCTCATATCTGAATAGCTCTCAGCTGAGCTGTGCTGCTAGAAGCCTGAAAGCTTAACCAGCCAAATGCCTAACCAGCCAAATGCTGCTAGTTTCTGGTCCTCACGCCTTATATACCTTTCTGCTTTCTACTACCACTCCCTGGGATTAAAGGCTCGCTTTCTGGGATTAAAGGCATGTGTCACCATGCCTGGCCATTTCCAATGTGGCCTTGAACTCACAGAGATCCAGAGGGATTTCTACTTCTGGAGTGCTAGGATTAAAGGCGTGTGTGCCACCATTTTCTAGCCTTTGTATCTAGTGGCTGTTCTGTCTCTGACCACAGATAAGTTTATTAGGGTGTACAACATTTTGGGGGACATAATACCACCACAAGATATCAAATTGATGCTACTAGGAGCTAAGGCATACGGAATACTGACTAATAGGCCAGCTACTGTTGGATGCACTCTGGGCATTGACTCATCGAACCTCACAGCATCTCTGGACTGCAGGTCCTCTGATATAGTTTCGGCTAAAGCAAAGAGCAGTTCCATGACTGACCTGTCCAAGTTTGTGAGGAGAGTTGTCAAAATACAAACATAGGCACTGTAGTTCCAAGACCAATAAATTTAACCACTGCACCACAAATCACAGATGAGATCTGACTGTGTCCTGTCGAATGTTAATCTAGGGCCAGTTCCTTTAAGGGAGGCCGACGGGCTAGAGAGATGGCTCAGCATTTAAGATCTCCGTACTGCGCAATCATGAGAATAGGAATTTGGGTCAGAGCACCAAAGTAAAAAACTGGGCATCCTGTACACACCTGTAACTCTAGCGCCAAATGAGGACCATGTCAGCTTCCAGCTTTGCTGTGAAAATACAAGCCTTGGGGTTCAGGGAAAGATCCTGCCTCAAAGGAATAGGTGGTAGGTGATAAAGGGGAACACTCAACCACCCATTCTGGTTCTATACACACACACTCACACACACACACATACACACACACACACACACATACACACACACACACTCCCAGCTCCACACACATGTATAATACACAAATAAATAAATCTTAAAAAAATAAAAATAGAAGTTCAAAGAAAATCCTAAATGAAAATTTGAATTGTCTCTCCCCAGTTAATGTTCATAACTTCAAGAAAAAATAGACAGAGAACTTTTAAATTCCTGACATTGCCCTCCCTCATGAATATTCAGAAAACTATAGCACTAGTTAATGACCCCTAGATCTGGAGTCGGTAAGTTTTCTGTAAAGAACATGATAATGAAGTTTTAGGCTTTGTAGGTCATGTAACTCTGATTCAAGCACTCAGCTCTGCCTTTGGAGGTTGGAAACAGTCAGACACAACACATGAAAATGAGTGTGACCATGTCTCAGAAACACTCTGTTTGCAGAAGTGAGCATTGGGCCCTAGTCAGCTGTAGACTATAATTTGAGAGTCTGTCTTAGAGTCATCTAGACTTTTAAAAAGGCTTGCTCATTCTTATTTTCTGTGCATGAGTGTTTTGCCTGTGTGTATGTATGTGTATCACATGAGTACAGTGCCTATGGAAGCCAGAAGGGAGCATCAGACACCTGGAACTGAAGTCATGGATTTTTGGGAACCACTCTGTGGGTACAGCAAACTCAAACCCTGGTCCTCTGGAAGAGTAGCCAGTGCTCTTAAGTACTGATCCATTTCTCCACCCTAGATAATATTTTTTATTCCTATATAACTAGAAGAAACTAGACCTTCATTAAAGTGGGCAATAGGATCCTGGGGGTAGGGTGTAGTGGTTGAGTGCTTGCCTAGTACATGAAAGGCCCTGAGTTCAATCCCCAATACTGTCAAAGGTAGTGGAAGGGAGTAAAAGATAAACAAGATTGATGGCTGTGGCAGTTTGAATGTAATTTCCCCCATAAGCTCATAGAAAGGGGCACTAATAGAAGGTGTGGCTTTGTTGGAGTAGGTATGGCCTTGTTGGAGGAAGTGTGCCACTGTGGAGGTGGGTTTTGAGATCTCATATATGCTCAAGCCACATCCAGTGTCTCAGACCACTTCCTGTTGCCTGTGGATCAAGATGTATTAACTATCAGCTCCTTCTCCAGCACCATGTCTGCCTGCATGCCACCATGTTGCACCATGATGATAATGGACTAAACCTCTGAAACTGTAAGCCAGCCCAATTAAATGTATTTCTTTTTTTTTTAATTTATTTTAATTTATTTTGCAATACAATTCAGTTCTACATATCAGCCACGGATTCCCTTGTTCTCCCCCCTCCTGTCCCCCTCACCTTCCCCCCAACCCCCCACCCCATTCCCATCTCCTCCAGGGCAAAGCCTTCCCCACAGACTGAGGTCAACCTGATAGACTCAGTCCAGGTAGGTCTAGTCCCCTCCTCCCAGGCCGAGCCAAACAATCCTGCATAGGCCCCAGGTTTCAAACAGCCAACTCATGCAATGAGCACAAGATCTGGTCCCACTGCCTGGATGCCTCCCAAACAGATCAAGCCAATCAACTGTCTCACCCATTCGGAGGGCCTGATCCAGTGGGGACCCCTCATCCATTGGTTCATAGTTCATGTGTTTCCATTCATTTGGCTATTTGTCCCTGTGCTTTATCCAACCTTGGTCTCAACAATTCTTTTCTTTTATAAGAGCTGCCATGGTCATGGTGTCTCTTCACAGCAACAGAAACTCTAACTAAGACAATGGCCAAAGTCAAAGTTTTCAGCTAGGCCTTTTTATTAGGATAACTAGAGTGGCTTTTAACTATAATGTTAGTAGGCTCCTCTCCAGATACAGAGAAGGGGACAAAGATTTTGAATTTTAATAAATACTTAGTAATGAATATTCACATTTGGGAGAATGCTGCTTTTATACTAAAATCACCTGAAGGCCATGCAGAGAGAAAAGCCTAGGGAAATGTCCTGGCTAACAGGCCTGCAGAGGTTCCAGCCAACGGCCAAACCTAGACATGGGTAAAAATGAATTGAGATGAGCCCACCTGTGCACGGGGCAGCCTACTGAGAACCTCAACATCAGGAGCAGAGACACAGCAGCCTCTATTTGCAATGCTTGAATTCCTCAAACACAACCCAGGAGCATAAATAGTGGTTTTTTTTTTTTTTTTTTTTTTTTTTTTTTAGCATTTTTAAAAAGCATCCAGGGAGCCTTTTAAGAATGTTGTAGCTGCTACTGGAGATATGTTTAAGCAGTTAAGAGCACCCGCTGGCAGAGGACCCAGGTGTGATTTCCACATCTTTAGGGTGGCTCACAACCAACATTCACTCCAGTTCCAGGGAATCTAATGCCTTCTTCTGGTCTGAGGGTACCAAGCAGACAAATGGTATACAGATATCCAGGCAAAACACGCATACATATAAAATAAAAATAAGTCTTTTAAAAAATGTTGTAGCCTAGGTCCTATCCCCAAGACATACTGATTCATTTAATCTGCAGTCTGTATTATGTTTTCCTGTTTTGTTTTTTTTAATAAAACTTTAAACATCAAGAATTGAATGAATACAATGTGAAAATCTAGACAGCATCAATGAGAATATTTTGCACTATGATAATATATATTATATGAACTGCCTGAAAATACTTTGCAAATATGACATTTGATCCTTGAGTACTTCAACACATGTCTATCCAAAATACATGTGTTGTTATATATAACCACAATTTAATTATCTTGTGGAAGAAAACACTTTGTTGGTTCATGAATATCCAGCCCATAGTTACAACTCCTTTACATTTTTTTTTAAACAGAAGTTTTGAATAGCATTCTACATTGAATTTAATTGGAAAAGTTTCTACTCCTCTCTCATTTTTAAATTTTTTCATTACACTGACCTTTTAAAAGAGATTGTTAGGGTTGCTAGAGAGACGGCTCAGCAGTTATGAGCATGTACCCCTCTTGCATAAGACCCAAGTCAGCTCCCAGAACCCACATCAGGCAGCTCATTTCCTGTAGCTCCAGATGTCAGGAATCTAACATCATCTTCTGGACTCTGAAGGTCTCTGCACTCACCTGCACACACATCCACACATATATTCACATCATTTAAACAATAATAAATATTCAAAATAATGTATAAGATTTATGCACTTGCCCGTGTGTATTTTTGTGTGTTGTGTGCGTACAATGCCTTCAGAGGCCAAAAAGGGACATCAGATCCCCAGAACTGGAATTAGAAACAGTTCTGAGCCCCTGTGTGGGTACTAGCAACTGAAGGTTGGTTTTTGTTTTGTTTTGTTTTGTTTTACAAGAGCAGCAAGTGCTTTTAACTGCGGCTCCATTTCTGTAGACCTACACTAACGTTTAAAGCAATGAAGCCAAATAGAATACCCTACAATTTATATGTAGCTGTCTCTTCTGGAATTACTTAGCTTGAATATTGCTTCCAAGGAGGACCATGTAAATTAAAGTCTAAAGGGATAGATTAAGAAAAAGCATTTGGCCGAGCAGTGGTAGTGAACGCCTTTAATCCCAGCACTTGGGAGGCAGAGGCAGGAGTTCCAGGACAGCTAGGACTGTTACACAGAGAAACTTTGTCTCCAAAAATAAAAATAAAAATAAAAGCATTTGGCCAGAGTATAGCTCATAGCAAAAGAGACATCAGAGCAGATGGTATATACCATAGTTACTTAAACTATGGGTCATATAATGGAATGTGCTGAGTGAGTTTTATTCTTTGATAAAGGAGGTGGACTTCCTACCTCTTCACTAAATTATGGGTTGTCTTTTTTTTCTTTTTATGTTACAGTAGCCTCTGCGACCATTGAGCATGGATATCAGGGCTCTGTTGAGACCCATTAGGAGAAGCTCCTGGTCAAAATACTGGATTCTGTCTCTAGCCCTAATGGAGTCTTAACATTCTGATATGCTCCAAATATTAGAATATTGCATACTATTGCCTCCTCCTCTAAGAGTTACTCCAGCTGGGTATGTCAGTCAGCTGGCCAGGAAGGCTTTTTTACCAAAACTCATACTAAGAGATGGAGAGAATAATTATCCCCTTGCTGAGATCACATACATTTGCAATTAGCACAAAAAGTATGTAAGGCAGTACTCCAGTCCACAAATGCCTTGTTTCCCCAGCAAAATTTCGTCTGATTTTAACATCCATCAAGGACACTTGCCTAAAATAATTGTTTCAGATTCTAAATATTTTTAATCAGGGCATTTTTACATACAGTAAAAATCCATCCTTCTATTGTGTGCAGTTTCGCAAGTCTTGAAAAACACAGGTATTTGTGTAATCATGACCACATTTAAGATACAGCATAGTTCCATACACCCCCTCAGATTCCCCTGCCACCCATTGTAGCTCATCCCTCCCCCAATTCTAGCCTGGTCAGTCGCTAGTCAGCATTCTGTCCCTTTAGATTTGCTTTTTCCAAAACATCATGTACCTGAAATCAAATGCTATGTAGCCTTTTGAGTCTGGCTTCTTACATTTAGCAAGATGCCCTTGTGATCCATCAGTATTGTTGTTAGAGTCTGCAATGCCTTCCTGCTGCTCAACAGTCCTTCCATGCGATCATTGCATTCTTTATTTATCCCCTGAGAGGTACTTGGGCTGCTTACATTTTTATTAGCTATGAGTGAAATCATAGAAACATTTTGATTCCTGCCCATGTGGATGTAA